GGGGGGAGGCCGCGGGGGGAGGCCAGGGGAGAAGAACGAACCTCGAGGACGAGCGAAGATGATTCGACGCGGGGGTCCCCAAATGTGCCTCTCAGTTCTTGGCGCTCCCGTCTGCCAGTGTCTGAGGAAGAGAATCTTGACTTGTGGCGACATCGGTCCCTGCCGGATCCCCCTTGGAGTGCCCAGATGTTATGCCGGCTACATCGGGATGTTCTTGGGGCTCGGAAAGGTTAGGGGTCGGGGGTGCCGAGACTACGCTTTGCACTGAGAAGTCCCCACAATCTGGACGCGCCGAAACAGGCGAACCGCCTGAGACAACCCCACAATCTGTGCACGAATGGGCAAGTGTCATACCCCCTGGCGGCTCCCTCATGGGGGCCATGCCTTCGACATCGCGGTGATTATGGAGCTTCCAAGAGGGGAGAGTCCTAGACGCCGAAACAGGCGAACTGCCAGTGAAGAGTCGAAGGTGTCACACAAATAATTGTCTTCTTCTCTCCCTTCTCCTTCCCCTTTCCTCTCGCGCTGGCCCCCAATGGCGCCCGACGCCCAGTCCCGCGCCAGGATCTGAGGTGTACATTTTGTCGCCAGCCGCTGCGCGAAGCTTCTACCTGGCGAACCTGGAAGGGTCTCGAGGGAAACGTGCCCCCAATGGCTTCGGGTTACGATGAATGCGCCGCGTGGGCGCTCTGACTGTGTGTCTGCTCTGCGTCTCCAACGCATGTCCGAAGTACTTGCAGGACTTCTGGCCCGCGTCCTCCCTGTCTGAGCCGCAGGCTCCACAGAAGTCCTTCCCAGTGCAGAGCACGCCACAGTCGTCCTGGTCTGAGTTGTGTTGGTCCGCCGCGGTCCCCCTTCTGCCTGGTCAGAGTTGTGCTGCCGGGTCGCTGTCTTGCTCGGCTCTCGCGCGGCGCTTATTGTTCGCACGGCGCTTGGGGCGGCGCTGTTTGGGTGTTGCTAGAAGTACCCCTGGCCCCAGGTACCCCCAGGATTCTCGGCCTGGCCCAGACGGCCTCCAGGGCACCCCTCACGAGGCCCAGAGGGCCCCAGGGGCTCCAAAATGGAGCGAAGAGCTGGGGGCACCTTGGGCCAGGGGCACTTCTAGCAATACCCGAGCTGTTTCTGTTCCACTGCGCCGCTCCGCTTCTTGCCGCCCTGCTGCTTCTTACCCTCGGACTGGTGGTGCGTGGTCCGCACGCCCCTACACCCTTTACAGATGTCGGACGGATGACCGGAAGTGGAGACGAAGGAGCAGGACCATTATTTGGTGAACCTGGTTTACCTTCAACAGCTGTGCCGTCATCAGAGCCTACCGAATTCTCCTCCTGCTCGTCCTTCCTCCTGCTGGCTCTCCGTTCGATTTCTGTCGTGGCACCCCTGCGTAGTCGAGGTGGAACCGGTGCCCGTTCTTTTTCGACACGCTGGTGTCTACCACCCTCTGCATGGCTTCGAATGACTATTACTTGAACTCCGAACAAGCTAACAGTGCGTGGGAACCCGCTGCCGTCCCAGGCCAACTGGTGCTCCTCGAACTTGTGCCGCAAAATCTTGCTGAGAAGCTTGCTCCACGTGGCGTCGGCCTCACCGTCAACGCCGCAAGCGGCGTGCCTTAGAAGCTCATCGCAAGATCTCTTGTTGAAGCCGCGGTCGTCGCTAGAATTCTCGTACGTCGAAATCCCTGTCGTCGCAGTTGTCGACGTTAAGGGGATATCCGAGGTTCAAGCCAGCAGGCAGACAAACCGCCTGAAACATCCCCACAATCTGTTCGCGAACAATCTGCTGTAGTCTCTGTCACCAGACAGGCAACATGCTTGAGAACTCCCCACAAGCGCGGACGGGCACATGTCCTACCCATCGCGGCTCCCCCTTGGAGTGTCTAAATGCCACGCTTGCTACATCGCGATGAGCATGGGGCTGTGAAACGAGAGTAGTCCGGCCACCACACAGGCCAACCGCGTGAGACATATCCGCATTCCTGCTCAATCCTGCTACATCGCTGCGAGTATGGGTTTCTGAATAGAAATGGGCCACCAGATGGGCAAACCGCGTGAGTAATCCCCACAATCTGGGCGCGAGCAGGCACATGTCCTACCCCTCGGCGGCTCCTCCGTGGAGTGCTGAAATACCACGCCTGCCACATTGCGATGAGCATGGACCTCTAAAAGGAGAGGGGGTTGGGCCACCAAACAAGCGAACCGCATGAGACATCCCGTCAATCTGAGCGCGAACAGGCACGTGTCCTGTTCGCGAGTCAGAGTATGAGCGGGTCCGAGTATGAGTGGGTTTGCGTTAAAGTGAGTCTGAGTATCAGTGGATCTGATTGTGAGGGAGTCTGGGTATGAGTTTGTCTGAGTTTCAGTGAGTCTGAGTGTAAGTGGAGGAGGAAGGAGGCGGAGGCGGAGGCATGACACCAATAAGACTATATTCGTAATTATTCGAAGGATCATACCGTACCCACTAGACGCGGATATTCCCAGATGCGCATCTCACATTCTTGTCATGCCTCGTTGGGGAAGTCTGCCTGTGAGCATCTGGATGTGAGAGCGAGGCCGCGTAGACGATGGGCGCGACGACGACGACAGCGACGACTTCAGTGACGTCCTCTTCCTCTGGATTCTTTCACGGAGTATGAGCGAACACACAAGCGAAGCGTGAGGGATCATTGACAAATCAAGGTAATTGAGATTGTGAGTGGATCTGAGCGTGATTGATTTGAGTGAGAGTGAGTCTGAGTATGAGTGAGAGGAATGATTGAGCTAGCGTGTACGGTATGAGAGAGTGCGAGTACGGATGCGTCCGAGTATGAGTGAGTCCTCATAAGAGTGAGTCTGAGTGTGAATGATTCTGAGTTGGAGCGTGTCTGAATGTGAGTGGTTTTCAGAATGAGTGTGACGAGGCTGAGGCTAGAGTATGCGTGGGCCTGAGCGTGAGTGAGTCTGAGTGCGAGTGAGTCTGAGTGTGTGTGTGTGTGAGTCTGGCTATGAGCGGGTCTGTGCGTGAGTGAGTCTGAGCATGAGTGAGGCTCACCATGAGTGCGTCCAAGTGTGAATGGGTCTGAGTGTGGGTGAGTCTGAGTGAAGGTTGGTCCGAGCGTGCTTGAAATTTAGTGTGGGTGCGCCTGACCTTGAGGTGTGAAGACGAGGAGGAGGGAGGTGAGGAGGTGTGAGGTGATCCGAGCGGGTCCGAGCGTAAGTGATTGGAGTGTCTCAGCATGAGTGTGGGTGGGTCTAGGCATGAGGAAGTCTGAGCATGAGTGAGTCTGAGTATGCGTGGACCTGAGTGTGCGTGAGTCTGAGTGTGTGTGGCAAGTCTGAGTGTGAGCAAATATGTGTGAGTATGAGCGGCGAGTCTGGGTCCAGGAATGACTTAGGTTGAGCGTGATTGGGTCTCAGTGTAAGTGACTCTGCGTAACCATGAGTCTGAGTGTGAATGAGTCAGTGTATGAGTATGTATGGTATGAGTCGTGAGTTAGTCTAAGTACGAGTGAGCCTGAGTGCGAGCGAGTCTGAAGGTGAGGTAGTCTGAACACATTCTGCGTGATAAGTGAGTGAGCCTGGGTGCGAGCGAGTCTGAGGTGAGTGATTCTGAGACATCCCGACAATCTGGACGCGAATCCTGGAGTGTTCCCACCGCTGGCCCCGCCCCCCCTTTGAGTGCTGAAACCAGCGCCTCGCCGGAGACATCCTCTGAGTCTTTTCCGAAACCAAAGGATTCTGAGCACGCAAACAAACAAACAAACCGCCTGAGACATCCCCACAATCTGGGCGCGAATCCTGAAATGTCCTGACCCCTGGCGCCCCGCCCTTCGGAGTGTCCAAACTGGCGCCTCGCCTGAGACATCCCCAGAGCCTGCTCCGAAACACGAGGAGGATATTGAGCACGCAAGCGAGCAAACCGCCCGAGGCATTCCTATCATCTGGGCGCGAATCCTGGAATGTCCTGACCTCTGGCGCCCGCCCTTCTAAGTACTAAATCCAGCGCCTCGCCTGAGACATCCTCAGGATCTGTGTGTGCGATTGATTCTGATACTGATCGAGTCTGAGTGTGGAAGTGAGTCTGAGAGAAGAGAGTCTGGGTCAGTATGAGTGAGTCTGATTAGGAGGAGGAAGGATGATAAAGGAGAAGCAAGTCTGCCGCTGTCTGAGTAATAACAGTAGTTCCATCGTAGGGTATGGGGAAGAATCCCATGCTCAGGATTCAAGGGATGGGGCATAATCCAATATTCATGAGACGGGATTTCGTAGGACATGGGGAAGCAACTATTCTGCGGCCCAGGGCTAAGCCAGGAAGGGAGGACGAACCAACCAATTACTCAACGAGCCAAGACATTACAAGGCGCTGGGGGGGCCAGGGGAGGATCTGCGCGGAGGTCTGGACTGCGGGTGCCCGGTGCCGAGCCAGGGAAGGCGGCCGAGCCAACCATCTCGCCAGCCAGCCGACCAGCAAGCTACCAAAGAAAGGGCTCCGAGGTCCTGGGGGAGGACCTCGGCGGGAGCCAGGGGAGAGGGCCTGGACTTCGGGCCTGGAGTGCGGGTGCCCCCAGGCTGGGCCGGAGCTGGGCCAGGGACAGAGGACCAGTCATCCAACCCAACCAACAAACCAACCAACGAGCCACGAAAATACAGGGCTACGAGGGCCGTTGGGGAGACCTGTGCGGAGGCCCGGTCTGTGGGCGCCCAGGACTGAGCCGAGGAGGGAGAACGAACGAACCAACCAACCAACCAACCAGCGAGCCACGAAGGGCTTAGAGCTCTAGGACACAGCTATTCAAGAGAACTGATGAGTGTTGCCTCTTGGGGCTTTTGTTGGCGTACTTTTGGGGCTCTCTTGAGCCGTGTTGGAGCCATCCTGGGCTGTCTTGGGGCCCTCTTGGGCGCCTTGGGCAGCTTGGACCCAAGTTCGTCGCCGTGGCCAGATTTGCTTCGAATTCCTTGTCATGACGCACGCTGGGATAGGTCCAGGGGGCACGCATTTCGGTATCTTTGTTGTCCCCTCCCCAGGAGCAGGTCTACACGACGCTGTTTGCTCTGATCATGTTCACGAGCTTCCAGTTCTACATACAGCCTCTCAAGTTCACAGCAAACAATCGTGTCGACCTCACCTTCAAGATCTCCTTGATCGTGTTTCTGGTGCTCGCCACGTCTTTCGTCAAGAGGGACAAGGTGGGCTCTGGCGTGCAGGAGTCCAAAGACATGTACGCCACCATTATCGTGGCTTTGTTCGTTGGCGCGTTCGCATTTGCTTTCCTCAAGTTCACGAAATGGGCGCTGTCCCACTGCAACCCTGATGGCATGGTGCACGGTCAGATGGCTCACACAGTGTGGCGCCTCCGGGACGTCTCGACTGCCATGCTCATGATGCCCGAGAAGGATCTGTTCCGAAAGGCGGGCGGACTCCTTGACAACGACGTACAAGTGTTGCAGAACGCTACGAATACGATGATCAATGTGCTGTTCGGACAGCAGGCCAGCAATCACAAGAGACAGCAGCGTCTCATAGTCGGTGGCGGAGGGTTCCGGGTCTGGAACCACAATGAGCAGGTCGTGCAGATGATCAAGGATCGGACGGCGCCAACGATCCACCAACGCCGACCCTGGCCTGGGCCAGGCCCATCATGGTCCTAGAAATTGCGTATGCAGTGCGCCTTTCTGGGGCCAGGCCGGTCCTCGCCAGGATCGATGTAAGTGTGTGTGGTCGGCTCCCTCCGAAAGGACACGGAGTCTGGGAAGCTTCACGACGCGGTCGCGCAAAGTTGCCGGTTCCGGTTGCGTTTGTTGAAGTTGGCGAGGGCAGCGACCATGAACCCATTGGACGAGCGCAACAGCAGCGATGAGTACGTGGCACGACCGCAGACTTCGGGGGGGTCTTCCAGCAACATTGCCACGGGATCGAGCTCAACTAACGTATCCCGTGTGAAGTCGACGAAAGACAAATTGCGAGAGAAAGCGGCATGCTGCTCGTGTTTCGTCGATTCGGGCATCAGGAGACTGGTCAATCACGCCCATGGAGTGGCGGACATGCTTGAATTGAGCTATTCCCAAGCTATCACACGGAAAGAGTTCGGTGATGTCATCAAAACCAAGTTCAAAGACCTCGACATGCCCGAGGAGGATCTCGACCTCATCTTCTGCGCCATGGACACCGACGGCGGCGGCACGATCACCATGCGCGAGTTAACCATGTTCATGATGGCCCTTGCTCCAGAGGACCTCGTCACCGCCCACATGCGTTCCGACGCGGAGACGGAGGCGTTGGCCAGGGAGCGCGACGAGGACCAGAAGGGAGACGCCAACCCCGATACACATGCTCGATGCGTGAGGAAACATGATGGAGGTTCCTGAATACTGTTGGCCCTTCTCTGGCCTCTTGGGATTCAGGGGGCCCACTGGAGGCATCCGCGGGTACATCTGGAGGCCTCCAGGGACACCCTTAGGACCTCGGAGACTCCTTGCTCCCCCCAGCCAACCCTCGCCCCAAACCAAAGTCACCATACGCCAGCCCGCATCACCAGGGAAAAACAGCTGGCACGAAGCACCAGGAACAATGAGCCAGAGACAAGGTTGTCTGAGGTCTGTATGTTGGGTGGTGGCGGCGATGGTAGTGGGTGGCTTTCCGTTTCAGCTGGGTAAGATCTCCAATCACATGCATGTTTGCAGCGCGGCGGAACCTACAAGTGTCAGATTGAGGGAGTCGATCGGTCACTCATTGTCTCGGGGTGCGTTGCTGAAGTGGTGTTTCTCGGTGCGAAGTGGTGTTGCGTTGTTGCGTTGCGTTGTTGCGTTGTTGTCGTTGTCCTCACCCGCGACCCGTCCGCGACCCACCCGCGCCCCCGCCCCCCCTGGCGACCACCCCACGACCCACCTGACGACCCACCGGCGACCCACCCGCAACCCACTCACGTTGCTTTGACGAAAAAATCTGCCTCTGCGGCGGGATCATTGAGTAAGGTGGGCAGATAATTCGGCGCTTGCGGCGGGCTTCTTCAGAGCTTCGCAGGCTGCCGACGACCCCGCTGCCCTCTCGCTCTGATCCACAGATCCACAGCTGCGGGGTGCCATGTAATCTGTATGTGGGAACGTGTGGACAACTCATGTGCGTGGTGCCTTGATGAGGGTGGGACGGGGCGGGCGGGCAAAGGGAAACAAACATTGCGTGGGTGGTGGCAGAGCCTTTTATTGCGTCCTGCCCTCCCGCCCCTCAAATGCACAACACACGGACTCCGTGAGGACCCCCCTCGCACATCTTCACAGTGTAAATTCACGTGTAAATGAATTCTAGCTGTTGTGTATCGAAGTGGGGGCGCACGTAAACAATCTCCCTCCCTGCCCTTTGTTTTGAAACGTTGGGTGGCCCGAGGGTACCCGCGGTTGGCGTCAAGCCCTGACCCTCTCGACAACGAGCCGCAGCAGCGAGGGGGGGGACCGAACGAGGGCTGGAAAGCAATCGAGGCGAGGGCCAGAAGGACACCAGCGGAAGGGATTCAGCAAGAGGCTCGGCCTCCAAGAAGGTCGGAGGTTGATAGACCTCCTACCCTGGCACGTCGATTCAGGAATTGGCCGTTTTCGGTTCGCGAGAGGGCGTCGCGGCCGTCATTTTCGCGGGTCCAGGTCCGTCGGTTTCGGTCTTAGGCCCTTTTCACGAAGGGGAGGTTTACTAAAGGGAGGTTTGTCCACCGCCGAGATGGGGTCAGTGGGGATCGGAGGATCGCGCCGCATCGGCGATGCGGCTCGCTGTGGAGTCTGATTTTCTCCACATCGACAGCGCCGATGCATTGCCAACAGGCGCTGCTGGTACATCGCCAGTGCATCGCGGATGCATTGGCATTGCGGTGCGATCCCCCGATATCCCATCTACTCGGCGATCCCCAGCTCATTTGTTCCGTCGAAGCTGGTGACGTCTTGTTTCCTGCGGACACGACGGACCGCGTTGCGCGCGTCGCCGAACAATGGAAATCGCAGGGGGGGGGGTGATTCAACTGGCGCTTGATTTCGCGGAGGGTTGTGTACACTCGAGGCTGACTAGTAGGTCGACCTTGCCAGAGCAAGGATGTTCTGTGTCCTGTGCGTCGCGGTCCATGCCTTCTACCTTCCTGTGTCAGTGTGGCCCTCGGAAGGGTCCTGTGTCCTCTCGCGTGCTCCCTCGAATCAACCTCGTCCCCCTCGAGAGGAGGTGGACGAAAGCGACCGAGAGCTGGCGCGGCTGACGAGGCAGTGGACCGGCGGGCAGGTCGGGCGCCCGCGCTCCCGGAGCTCGGGGCGGACGCCGTCCAGCACGGGCTCTTCCTCCTCCTCCCCGAGGGGCCTTCGGCCGGCCTCGGCCTCCTCGAGGTCCTCGGGGCCACCGGCGAAGAGATCCGTGTCCGCGACCTCGCGGTCTGGATTCCAGAGCGCGATCCCGCGCATACGCGGTCGCACGGACTCGCTCCGCGCGGGACATGTGCGACACATCACCGTGTATCGGTCACACGCAGAGGCGGGTGGGAGGAGGAGGGGAGGCTTCTCGGAAGCACTTTGCTTCTTAGAGGAGGCGCGGGCACCGTCTATAGATTATAGATGTAAGGCCCGCGCCTTCTAAGACGCATCATCCTGAGAAGCCTCCCCCATCCCTCCACCCCATTAAGCGCGCCGCCAACTGTCAGTATCGTTAAACCTACCTCTATCCCCCTCCCCGTCCCCATTCAAACTCCCACGATCTCAGCACCCCAGTTGGGGATATACCTCTCGAAGCCCGTAGGAAACGGCCTCCATACGCTCTGCTGAAGATCCCGCCGGCGGTCTTCGAGGCTCGTCCCTTGCGACTCCTGGTGCCCATGGATGTGTTGCCAGGCTGCACGACGACCACGGCGGTGCGAGATCTATTCTGGCACGAGTTCTTCGGGGATAAGTGGGCACCATTGGTTCGGGAACAGGGCTTCGTAACCCAGGCGCTGCCGATGGTGACCACGGGCGCTGGTGGCCCGCAGCACGTCTCCCGTGGCCTGCTGATAGCCACGATATCCACTCACAGACCGCATCAGCTTCCACGAGTCCTCTCGGTCGCCGAGCCGTTGGCGCAGGTGCGAGCTGGTTCTGCGATCTACGTGGATTGTCCGCCGGCGCATCTCGCTGCGGTGTTCCAGCGGGTGCTGGCCTTGGGGGATATGCTGAACATCCGCATGGGCCACAGCAGCCGGAGTCCAGGATCGGCCCCGGACGCTCCACGGACCCGCACCGAATTTCACATGCCGCCGAGCGTCACCGAGTTCAGCGTCCAGATGCTCCTCGTCGGTCTTCGACGTGAGCCATGGCCGGTACCTGTATTCTTCGCCTCCCGCTCCATCTACGCGGACCCCGCGGCGCCGCTCCTGGAGCTCACGGACCCGGCGGCCCTCTCCAAGGTCGACGGCTTCTGCCGGGAGGCGCTCTACCTCAAACCAAAGTTGGTGACGATCCGCACGGACGTCCGCGGCGACGACTGGCAGCAGCGCCTCGACGAGATTTGGGCTACAGACCCGGCGGCGGCTGTCACCAGGCTGCGGTGGCGACCCTCCCGCATGGGGGGACGGGCGGTGGCAGCTCCGGCGGCCGCTCGGGAACGAGTGCGGGCAGCCCGGCAGCCAGCAGCAGCTCGCTTGGAAAATCCAGGCGGCGGCCCCTGTACAGCGGAGCTGATGACAGAGGGCTCGCTGGGTTATGACCCGCAGGCAGCAGTCTCTGCCATCATGTGCGTGGTCCGGCAGCAGACTGGGGTCGACCTGACGGCGGCGGCGTCGGCGGCCCAGCTCCTACCAGGGTCCTGGAGGCGTCTCGCGGCGGACGATCCCACTGCCGATCCGGGTCGAGTCCGCCTATACTTCAAGACGATGGCCGATGGGGCAGCAGTGCGGGCGGCGATCCAGGGCAGAGCAGTGCAGGTGGGCGACGACCTCGTTGCCGTGAGGGTCGAGACTACCGCCGCCAGTGCTCATTCGCAGAATCGGCGGGGGGGAGGGCGCCCTGCCGCAGCGGCCCTCCCCCCACAATGAGACAGCAACGGGGGATGCTGGGACCTCACCCTCCCCAGCACGTGACGCAGATCGGGTGGATGCAAGTTTAATTGAAGTTATCGCTTCGAACGGCGCTCTTGGATACGTCCTGGATCTTTTTCTGTCTTTCCGACGTGGCTATCTCTCATCTTTGCTTCATCGTGACGTGCCTCTGCCGATGCAGTCCACCGAGCTTCCGCTCTTACTACCACCTCTCTGCAGCCAGCGCCCGGAGCTAGCAGTCCAGCAGTGGGGCCGTTGTCCGGCCCTTCCCCCAGCAGCAAGCGCACCGCGGCTCCCCCGGCCACGCCGGCGCCCGCCGCCGCCTCGACAGGCCGTCCCGGACATCGTCAGGCCGCCGCCTGCCACGGCGGATCCGCCACACACTCGATTTCCATTCTTGGGTGACCTGCAAGGGGCGACTTGGAATTCCCAGGCCCTGTTTGCGCGTAAACGGCAGCGGCATGAGCAGAAGGACGCTTACGTCCGCCGTCTCCTGCGCCGCCGGGACTTCGTGGCCATCGTGGACTCGCACGGCCTCGAGGGCGCCACGGCGGTGTGGAGCTGCCCCGACGACTGCGTCTCCTACTTCTCGCCTGGCACTACCAGCCGCGCTGGTGTTGGCATCGTGGTCAAAAAGAAGTTTCTCGAGCAGTTTGCGGACACCGAGCCTCGTTGGATCCACCTGGTCCCCGGAAGGGCCGCGATGCTCCAGCTGCGGGGCAGCGCGGGGGCCCTCGACCTCCACGTGGTATACTTCGCCACTGGGGTCCCGGGCATGGTTCAGCCGCGGGGCATGGCGGTGCCCGGGGACGTGAACGCGACTGTCCGGGAACAACGGCGCAGCATGCGTCAAGTCATGGCGGCGGCCATGTCTCCCAGGGAGGAAGTCCTCTCCATGGTCATGGGCGACTTCAACTGGGTGACCGACCCCGTGGACAGGTTGAACAAGGCAACTGGTGGGCTCTCAGGCGCAGACGACCTCGGAGAGCAGCGGGACGCCGAAGCCGGGCTTTGGCGGCCGGCGGGCTTGTACGAACTCCGCCAACCCGAGCTCACGCACGAGAGCGCCTCCGCGTGGAGCCGGTTGGACAGGTGCTACTGGAATGCCGATGTCGTGGGCCAGCTCGACCGGAACATCGCGTGCACGGCCCTCGAGTGGGTGCCGCACCTCTCAGCCCACCGAGCCATCGCCTTCGGTCGCCGCACGCCGTCTCGCCACGTGCCGGCGGCCATGCCAGTCCGGCCTGAGATCGTGGCGCACGAAAGTTGGCCGATTCGGGTTGCGGCCGCCTACCAGGAGCTCCAGGAACAGTGGTTTTGCCGGCACGGGCTGGACCCGCAGCCGCAGTCAGAATCGCCTCCATCCTCGGGGGTGCCGCCGTTGCGAGCTCTCGCCCTCCTCAAGCAGGCCATGAGGATCACAGCCGACCGGATGCAGCAGGAGGCCGCCGCGGCGACACCGACGCCGAGTCCCGAGGACGACGTTGGCCACACCGTCCGGTTCATCAGGGCGGCGGAGCGCGGCCACGTCGGCGTCATGCGGCAATGTCTGCAGGCCTTTCCGCGGTTAGCCTCCCTCGTGCCCGCGCCGCTCGAGTTGGCCACTGTCCGCGGGCGCCAACTGCAGCCTTACCGACAATTGGCGGTTGACCTGGCCCGGGAGGCGGCCATCGAAGAGCTGGCGGCACTCCAGCGACACCAGGGCGATTGCACCGATGGTGATTTGGATGCGCGTCGCAACCGCATTCGCAGCAAGCTCAAACGTCTCGCTCCAGGTCGGTCTGGTTGCCTGACAGGAGTAGAGTCTCCCACTGGCGAGATACTGACGGACCCGAAGGAGATGGCCGACGCTCTCCGGCAGCACTGGCAGGACGTATTCTCGCAGAGGCCGGTTGACGAGCACCTCATGGAGCAGTGGATTCGCGAAGACACTCCGCTGGCGGTGCCGCCGCCGGATGCTTCTGACTGGGCTATTACTCGTGACCATGTGGCCGCGGCCATTGATGGCTCCCCCAATTCCGCACCTGGCCCGGACGGCCTTTCGTTTGCCGCTTGGAGACGGCTCGGCCCCCTTGCGGTCGACGTCCTGTGGCAGGCCCTCAGGGCTCTTACGCAGCAGCCCGACCCAGACTACTTCGACGAATTCATCTCCACTTTCAACGGCAGCTTGATGATCTTCCTCCCCAAGGGGGCCGGGACCACCACCCTCGGAGTGACTGGGCACGGACCACCAGACACGCGGCCGCTCAACGTGGCTTGTTGCGACAACCGACTCCTCGCGAATGCTGTTCGTATCTGCGTCGAGGAGCCCCTGTCAAAGGCGGTGTCGGAAGACCAGCGCGGCTTCATCCCAGGGCGATCAATGATTGCGAACATTGTGGATGTGGACACGGCAATGATGAAGACAGCTCTGGAACGGACCGGGGGGGCGGCTTGGTTTTTCGATTTCAAAGCCGCCTCCCCGAGCATTTCGCACAAGTTTCTCAAACGGCTGCTCCGGGCAGCGGGCCTGCCGCCGTGGTTCTTGCGATTTGTCGACGTGCTGTACATGGGGAACCACTGCTCAATGGTGGTGGGCGGCTCGGTGCACCCTGGATTTACTTCGAGGACGGGAATTCGGCAAGGCTGCCCGCTCTCGCCGATCTTGTTTGCAGTTGCAGTGGACGTGCTGCTGAGGCGGCTGCGGAGACTACAGCCGTCGCTGGTGTCAAGGGCCTTCGCGGACGACATTGCGGCAGTTACCCCAGACCTTTTCGAGTCCGCTCCGGCCCTACTTTCCATCTTTGCAGACTTCGGGCGCATATCTGGTTTGCATTTGAATATGCCGAAAACTTACGTGGTCCCGCTATTCCGCGGCGACGCCGCGACTGTGCTGCGCGAGGTGCTCTCCATGCACCCAGGATGGAGCGGCGCGCAAGTCGCGTGGCGAGCAAGATACCTCGGCTTCCTCCTCGGCCCCGAGCGCGGGCATGACGGGTACAGCAAGGCATTCGACAAGGTGCTAGACAGGGCGAGCTGGTGGGGGGCCGCAGGCGGGGGGCTCTACTTGACGACGATTGCCTACACGGTCTATATTGCATCTGTCCTCGGATTCCTTATGCAGCTGGATGCCCTGCCACCGCGCTGGGAGACAGTGGAGGCCGAGGTATTCACTCGCTTAGTTCCTGGCTCCAACTTATGGACATGCCCGGAAGACCTTCGGCAGCTCCAAGTCCTCGGTTTCCCCCGCGGGTTCGCAGATCTTCGCGCGCGGCAGAGGGCAGCGCAGCTCCGGGTTGCAGCAATGGAGAACGGCCCTGCGGGAGGCTTGCACGTAGCGGCCCGGGCCACGGAGCTCCGCCGCATTCGCATGAATTCCGACAACATGATGGTGGCCGCTGCCTGGGCGGATTGGTTCGACCGCTCTTACATCTGCCAGCTGGACGACAATCAGTGGCAGTGCAGCGCCGAGGGCGTCACTGTTCACGCAGTCGAACGGCAGCTTCTGGGGGGCGAGATTGCCCGGCCGCTCACGGCGCAACAAGCCCGCAGCCTCCGTCGCGGCTTCCAGGGCTGCGCCGCTACCCTGTTGACGACTACCAGACCAGAGGAGCTGGAGCCGCGCGTGAGGCACAAACTCGACCGCTGGGCGGTCGACCAGTACCCCCGCACCCGGGTATCGCATGGCATGCGATTCCTCAGGATCCTGGGGAAGGCGGCGCCGCCCCGCGTTTGGGCGGCATCCTGGCGAGCCATGTGGAACGGCTGGCCAACCTCGCGACGCACCCAAGGGCGGTCGGGTCTCCCGGGCTGCATGTTCGGGTGCTCCGAGACCAGCCCGGATTCCATCGAGCACTACGCGAACTGCAGGATTGCCCATTCGATCTTAGCCAGAGAGTTGGGCATGTCAAGGGCGGCCACGCCACAGGGCCGCTTGGCCGCCTTCCTGGGCCTGGACCTCCGGGCCGCCGAGGATGACGACGCAGTGATTTTGCGGGGCATCCGCTTGGCAGCGATGTACCGCGTCCATTGCCATTGCCGTCACGGGCAGCTCCGCCGGGGGCCGGCAGCGGTGGAGGCGCTGCGGCAGGCTTGCCGGGAGGTCGTGAAAGGCCACAGGCAAGCCAGCGCAGCGTACGACGCGGCCCAGGCGCGCGGGAGAGGGAGTCGATGAGGTGCTCGGCGGGCAGTTGCAGAACTTCGTCGGGAAGCGCCGGCAGGTGGCGGTGGGGGGGGCGGACTCCTACAGGTGACGCGCTGCTCCTGGCTCAGTCGGCGGCCTTCCGCTCTACCTCTCCTCCTCGCCCTCCTCCTCCCCTTCCCTCCCTCCCTCCCTCCTCATTGGTGGCCAACGTCTCGTAGTGGAGGCCAGCGGGATGGTGCCCGGTGGAGCCGTTGACGCGCCGCGCTTGACTGACAGATTCCTCTCTTTTCCCTCTTGCTCTTCCTCCCCCTCCCTCTCACGCACCGTCTCCGTGACATTTGGATGCGTTTTGTGTGGAGGGGGGGGGCTGGTTTTGTCCCCCGGACTCCGGCCACCTCGCTGCGGCCCAATGTCGGCCCGTCCCGTGCGGTGTGAGTTTTTTCCCCAGGAGCTTGGAATCTGGCCCCGGCACGGCGCAACAAACTAGAACCAAAGAGCGCGGCAGGTATAGTATACGGTCGAATTTCCAGTCGGTCGGCCGCCGCGGCTGGCGACCGTTTAGATTGCCACAGAATGCCTGTACGGTCTCTCCGGCAGTGAATGATAAGCCGTTCTATCGGCCTCGCGGCCATGACAATCAGATTCCTAGGCAATCTTCGTCGGCTCCGCGCCTTGCAACGACTATCCCCCCTCCCTTCTCTTCCTTTCGCGCTCGCCTCCTGGAGGCGGTGCTCCGGCTTGCCCTTCCGGGGTGGGCCGGCACTCCGCCTCCTCTTCCGGTCTCCTCCTCACTCCCCCCTTGCACGGCGTGAAGTTGGGCAGTGTGGCCCGGATGTCTTTTCTCCAGTTTTCCCTGCGCCGTGTGGTCCAGATCGGCCGGAGGGCGTGTGTTCTGGTGCGACGCTCGGCGAGGGCGATCCTCCCCTTCCTTCTTCCTCGTCCTCTTTTCCTCCTCCCTCCTGCCCCGAATTGGTGGTTTCGATGCTGCCGGATGCATGGGCATCGCGCGGTGGTTTTTGCGGCCGCTCCTGGCCGACCCCTGGCTGCATTATCAGCCAGGGCTCGCTCCAGTCAGCCGCTGCAGAGCAGCGTCGCGTGTGCCCGGCGCTTCTGTGCCCGATCTCACATAGTATATTCTCAGTTGGCGAGTGTGCGCACCCAACAATTTATGTCACTCGAGGGCCTTCGCTGTCTCTCGACCTTCCAGTGCGTGTGCCAGTCACCTCATGCACACGACTGGTTAGTTCGTATTTGCCATTCTGCATCGTCTCTCCGAGGAGACGGCGGCAGGTCGGAATTTCAAGTCCGCAGTGTTCTGACAGGCGAGTCTCCCCGAGCCCAGGGCCATTGCCAGCTTGTCCCCCTCGTCCTCCTCCTCCTCCTCCTCGTCCCTCTTCCCCTGGATCGGTGTGGGAGCTGTAGGGTAATCCACGGCGGCCGCAGGACTTCGCTCCGAGGTCACCCTTTTAATTCCCGTGCGCGTTTCGTTGGGTGCGGGTATAGCCCCCATGAGGGGAAGCGGATCCCATGTAACCGAGCGTGCCTATTTTTGGCCGTACTGAATCGGAGCAGGGGCTGAAACTGATGTGTGTTTGCGTGGAAAAAAAAAAATCTAGGGGTGGTATCGGCAGTGGGGCCAAGCCACACAATGGGGATAGGGTCGGTTTTTTCGGTTAAACGATGCTAAAGCTGTATCCGCAGGGTCCGCGGCCAGGGACTTGGCACCGCGAGGCTGCGGTTTATATGGAAGATATGTGTTTTCGCTGCCCTCGGTCCCTCGATTGGCAGGCCGCCCGGGCCGAGCTGCACGGGGGGAACGCGATCCGGGGGGGGGCGAGCTGCGGCCGGGGAATGGAGGCTTTTTTTTTTTTTGTTTATTATTTATTTTTTTTTTTTTTTTTTTCTGATGTCGCTGTGTAAATATAGCTTAGTTTTGTGTTGTGGGGCTGTGTGGTTGGTTGGGTTTTTGGGGGGGGGGGTGGGAGGGGTTGTGGGTGTGGGTGGGAGGGTTTTTGTTTGTTGTTGGGTATTGTTGTTTTTTGGATTGGTATTATTTGTTGTTCTGGTAGGTTGGGCACGCGGGGGAGGTTTTTTTTTTGTGTTTTGTATTTTTATGGGGTGTCCTGTGCATTTTGTTTTTTTTTTTTTTTTTTGTGTTTTTTTTTTTTAATATTTTTTTTTTGTTTTCTTTTATTTTTTTTTTTTTTTTTTTGTTTTTTTATTTTTTTTTTTGATTTTTTCTATTTATTTATTTTTTTTTTTTTTTTTTTCTTTTATTGTTTTTTTTTGCGGTTGTTTTCGCATCGCAAGTTCTTATTTCTGTTTTATTTTTTATTTTGCTTCCGGGGGTCACCAGAGAAGAAAGAACCACCACCCGCATCTAGAGGGGCTGGCCGCTCCTCCCCATCGAGCTGGTGGCATCCCGTTCCGGGCGCGCCCCCAGAGTGCCCGGAACGGAGTGCAGCTTGTTCGCAGGTGTGGCCATTGGGAGCGGAGTGCTGTGGAGTTCGGGTGGTAGTGCCTCTTTTTGCTTTCATGAGGGGTGGGCTCGCCCGAAGCTCCCTCGCTCAGGCGGACGGCACCAGGAAAAGATACCCATACTGCTATCCTTCCCTCGGTTGTCCCTTTTGTGGCATCCTGGGAGGCCCTCGTCGCCACCGCTGGATTCGCCTCAATGCTTGAGGTCCCCGTCTCGGCATGAGGGATCACAATTTTGGGTGGTATGGTCTCATACATCTTCAGACAGGACCGCTTATCGGCCGGGAGGCCGTTAACGCGGCCATGTTAACGGCCAGGTGGCCGTTAACGCGGCCATGCTAACGGCGATTCTTCACATAACCAATGAAACATCAATGTCTTTGAGCCCCGCCTTCAAGCGTGAACGCGGGCGCGTTAACGGCCGAGTTGCCGTGAACGCGCCCGCGGTATCGGCCAGGTCGCCGTTAACACGGCCATGTTAACGGCTATTCTTAACAAAACCAATGAACAATCAGTGATATTGGACGCGGCTCAGAAGCGTGGACACGGGCTTGTTCGCGGCCAGGTACCGGGACACACGGCCGTGTTCGCTGTCAGGTGTGTCGGGGTTTCGGTTTTCTGCTCTGCCTGGCGGCCCATCGGGGCCAGACGGATCGCGAGGAGGCGGAGGAGGAGGAGGAGGAGGAGGAGGAGGAGGAGGAGGGGCCATTTGTGGCTGTGGCTCCTCGCGTTTCTCCGGCCTGCCTCTCTCCCCTCCCCCTCCTCCCTGTCTCCCTAAATCCCCCTCCCTCCTCCTCCCCCCGCCCCTCCCCCCGAAATGGGACGAATTACAAGCGACTAGTCCCAATTCCAACCGTTCGGAGCGAATTGCAACCATACATGGAACCAATTACAACCATGGGATCTTCAGAAGTACTTTTTTCTTCTTCAGAGTACTTCTTCTTCTTCAGAAGTGCTTCGATTCCTTAGAATTCCTTAGGATTCCTTAGGATCCTTAGGATTCCTTAGGGTCCTTGGGATTCCTTAGGATCCTTAGGATCAGGACTCCTCCGGATTCCGTCAGGAATCCTTGGGAATATTTGCGAATCCATGGGAATCCTGAAAAATCCTTAGGGGAAGGGGGCGCTTTGGGGGCCTTCTTGAGGTCTCTTTGGGCCACTCTTAAGGCCCTCTTGGGGCCTTCTTGGAGCCCTCCTGGGACCCTTATTGATTTTTCTTGGCGCCGAAATAAGCCCTAGAAAGGCCAACTTTCGAGGGCTGCAGGAGGGCCAACTTTTGAGGTCAACACTACGAACATTACTACTATTTCGACCTACTGCTACGACTTCTGCTACGACTACTGCTACAGCTAGTACTACTACTTCTACTCCTACTACTACGACCACTACTATTATTTCCTGCTTCTACTGCTACGCCGACTGCTTTTTAATCTTATTATTTGTACTGAAGCGACGCCGACTACTACAGTTACAACAACTCCTACTACTAGTACTGCTATTCCTGCTACCAGCACCACCACTTGTGGAACTACTACTACTACTACTACTACTACTACTACTACTACTACTACTACTACTACTCTATAATCACTACTACTACTACTACTACTACTACTACTACTACTACTGCTACTGCTACTACTACTACTACTGCTACTACTACTACTACTACTAGTATAAGTATTGCCTGTACTACTACTGTCACTACTAATACCACTACTACTACCACTACTGAGAGTGGCCACGACTACTACTACGACTGCTACGAGTCTTGCTTTGCCTGCTACGACTACTACTACAACACTACCCTTACCACTGCCAACACCACTATTACTACTACTGTGACTACTCAATATACTACTACTACTACTACTACTACTACTGCTACTACTACTACTACTATTACTACTACGACGACTACTATTACTACTAGTACTACTACTACTACTACTGCTACTACTACTACAACTACTAGTAATAGTACTACTACTAATACTACTACTACTCTTGGTCTTACGTGTATTGTGATTACTACCGCTTCCACTACTACCGCACTACAGTACTTTTGCTGCTACTAGTATTACTACGGCTGCCACTACTACTAATGCTAGCACTGTTGGTACAACTACTATCGCTACTACTACTACTACTACCACCACCACCACCACCACTGCTACTTCTATTACTACGACTACGACTACTATTACTACTACTACTACTATTACTACTACTACTACTACTACTACTACTACTACTTCTACTACTACTACTACTACTACTACTAATACTATTACGATTATTCTTACTACTAATTCTACTACTACTACTACTACTACTACTGCGTCTAGTACTACTACTACTACTACCACTACCATTACCACTACCAGTGCGACTACTCTCGCTGTTCAGAATGCTATTAATTTGATGGATACTACTACTACTACTACTACTTCTACTTCTACTTCTACTTCTACTTCTACTACCACTATCATTGCTACTACTACGACCACTAATCCTCCTACAAGCCAT